GGGGTCAAATGTTTTAAAATCTTCAAACAACTTCTCAATAACCAAAAGGCCCAGGGTACTGAAATTAGGCCTGTAGCATGCTGGGATGAAGGACTACCAAGTTTAATCAAATTAATTACCTTAATCCACTTTCAACCTGATGTCCTTGTTCGACATTCAAGGTCACAGGCGTCATATGTTTAAATCTTTTAATAGGTTCTTATGAATCAAACACTGATATTCTGCCTGTAGCTGTATTTTAGTCCACTTTTAAGATTACAAGTGTGAGATTAATACCAGGTGAGCGATGCAGGCCCATTGGGCCTCTTGTTAAGTGTATCCGTCAGTAAATACACGTTGTTTACACATACGATTTCTTCTGAAATTATCTATGTCAACTAGATATTTGCAGATTCATAACATTATTTGTTGCAGAGGTGAAGCGTGTAAATATGTAACGCCCACATACGGTGAAGGATTCTTCTGCGTTCCCGATGGTAAGAAGGTGTACAAAATCCCAGTGTACTGCATTGTGGGTAAAAAGTGGACAATCAAGTTGATGCTCCATAACGTCTGGATGTGCTGCTCCTGTCAACGCATCACGTGTTAGCTTTCAGCAACAAACTCGACTTTGGTTGTTTAAATGGGACGGTATAATAAACAAAACAATACAAGTGCTCCCTCTTTGTGTTTTTCCTTATTCAAATCTATATGTCTATTCCTATGGAACAATTTTCACATGAGTATTTTCGAAAGAGTACATGTTCACCTATGTTATCCGAAAACGTTAAAAAAAGGAAAGGAACTGTGGAAGGCACCATCACTTTACATCAGGAATTAGTACACAAACAGATTACTGAATAGTTGGCTGGAGCGACATCTTATATCGAGAAACCAGTTACGTCGCAAAACTTTTCTGCATGTTATAAGTTTATCAATTCTTATATCATTTAATCTCGCCTTCCCGACGTAAGAATTTGATAACTGCATTCGAGGAGATCTTATTTATCAGATACATGTTTTGACGCACACTCACCAATTTCTGCAGCATGCATTTATCAGGCTAAGTAAGGTTAACAGTGATGTCTGTTTTTGGCATTACGCTTGATGCATACAATCGTTCATAGATCATCTGGATTACAAAAGTATGGTTCCAACATATCAGTCATGTTATAATCACAATACAGCTGTATCATTGCTGTACCATTGCTGTAAGTAGGTGTCGTCGATGAAGGTGGAAACGCTTACCCTTCTGAAACACCTGGTCCTTTTTCCTCTGGTACTTTTTGGGGGACTCCTGTAATCTTTTCCATTGTTGATATTCTACTGCAGTTTTATTGATTTTGCGGTTGAATCACTGTTGTGTTTACGCTTCGGTATTATCTACTTTTTTTTTACCTAAATGTGTTCACTACATTTTTTGTTAGCTTCCTGACTTATTAAAAACAAAGGAATTCTCCCGGTACTGATGACTACATATATAAATTCATCCGGTTTTGAATTCTCCCTCCGTTTACGAAAGCCACCATTACCCGCTCTACATATGACATAGTATTTTCTTTCAAGTCTCTCTACTGGTAATATACTGAGAAACGCCAGTCGTCAAATGCATGATTACCTCAATACTGATCAATTAATAACATGATTAGTTACGAGCAAGCTTGGCTTAAATACATATATATGTACAGAGTATGTGTTTCAGCATATCTACCTATCATCGAGACATACGCAACATCAAATTCAGCCGAACAAAATCTCTGAAGATTTATTTTTATTTCCAATCGATTGTGATCATAAAACTACATACATTGTATAGCCTTCATCAAAATGCATTATTCGAAGCCTTGAGTTGTATATTTGTCCGTCTTAAGAAGAATTTCTTACAGAAGTAATAATATTTTGAGCAAGCCCTTGAATACCGAATCAACTACGACATGTTAATACCCCAGAACACGTAAGCATGGTTTTACTTTCAAAATCTTGCCTCGAATTCAGCAAAAATATTGTTAAACAAGTAAATCAATTCCTCTCACAATCTAACATTCAGAATAATATTAAT